TGTTGAGAACTATCCCCAGAGGCTTGTGCAGGCTGGGGAAGTACTCTGCTATTGAAGGAAGTAAAAAAGGAGTTCCAAACTTCAATGAGATGGTTTGCAATGACATAATTTTGAAACTTCAGTGAAAATAGTAAAGACACACTGAAGTGAGTTTTCACTCAGGACGTATGTCATAAGAATAAAAATAATGCTTGGGAAAACTTACTTTACATATATCAAAATGCAGTGCAACTTCATAAATTAAGAATTTAAGGCCAGGCGTGGTGGTGCACACCTTTAATCTCAGCACAGCAGAGGCAAAAGTGGGTGGATCTCTGAGTTCAAGGCCTGATCTACAAAGAGAGTTCCAGGACAGCCAGGGCTACATCTACACAATGAGACATTGACACATAAAACAAAAAAGACCCCGGTATGATGGTACAGGCCTTTAATCCTAGGACTTGGGAGGAAGATCTCTGTGAGTTCAAGGCCAGCCTGGTCTACATAGTGAGTTCCATGACAGCCGGTTTTATGTAGAAAGACCCTGTCTCAAAATCCAAAATGCAAAAACAAAAAGAAAAGAAAAAAAAAAGAAGCCTAAATTGAAGTTTAAGGACGTTAAAATCAAAATGCTTAAAAGCAAAATAGAAAACATCCACAATGAAAAAGAAAAGAAAAACATAATCAACATCTTCAACATCAGCACACCCAAAAAATAGTAAATAAAAGTAAATGCTCCCATAAAAAAGTAGACACACAACACCAAGTGGCTCCATTAATGCAAAAAGAAAATTAAATAGACAAAAACTATTGAAATTACCTACAATGAAATGTAATTTAAAAAACACTAGGTGTGAGTACAGCCCAATGATAGGTTGTTCTTCTTGCTTGGATAAGAACTCAGATTTGATCCCCAGAAATGGGGAAAAAAGAAAACAGAAGCTAATATAAACTCAAATTACCAGAAGTTATTCTTAATTCAACATAGTAAAGATTAAATAATGATTCTGCTTAATGCTGGCAAAAATTGCAAAGACAGGTATTCACTGTTCTGCAGGTAAAAAATTAGCAACCTTCTTGGTAGTCATTTGTCAATACCTATCAACAACCTTCAAAAACAAATATGCTTTGATTTGAAACAGCTAGCGGCTGTGTTCAAGTATAGTCAATAGCTTCCCAGAGTCCCCAAGTTTCTCTCAGGGACCTACAAGGTCAAAACTATTTTTTACAAAAATATTACTTCCCCTTCTATTCTACTGAATTTTGTGCCTATTGAATACCACAGTGAGTAAGCTTCCAATTCCTTTCCTTAAATGTGTTTTTAATAGAAACAGAATTGTATCACTTTCCCTTCTCAACCCCTTCAGGCTACCCTTCCTTGAACTCCTCCCACACTAGTATCCCCCCCCAGGTTGATAGCTTTTTAAATGCCAGCACTTGACAACAAATGGAGGGAAAGCCACATTCAAACTCACATACATAACACAGCTTAAAAAAATAACAAGTAGTCAGGTGATGGTGGAACATGGCTTTCATCTGACCACTTCAGAGGCAAAGGCAGAAGATGGACCTCTGTGAGGGCAAGGCCAGCCAGCCTGGTCTACAGAGCAAGTTCCAAGACAGCCAAGGCTACCCAGAGAAACCCTGTCTTGAAAAATTAATAAATAGGATATTTCACTTCACAATATTCACTAATTAATATTAATTCTCATCGTCTTGAAATTCTGTATGCTGAATTTAGAAGTAAATACAAACACCGATTTTAAAGATATGGTGGAGTGTCCACGGAGGAATGTAACTGACAAAGAGCTGAGCTAGCCACCTTTTCCAGGGAATACAATTCTTACTTGAATAAATAATAAAATTTGATTACTCATATATGGGTATCTGGCAGACATTTTTCTCAAATATAAATGACATGAGCCTGTCATTTCCAGGAAAACAACTAATAGCAAGCGTTGCCAATGATAGAATTTGAGCTTTCAAGGGAAAAAAATTCAAATATTAGAAAGCTCATATCCATCACCATAGTTTGACAGCTTCAGATCTTACAGACTTCTAATGAGATCACTGAAGACATTAGCTAATGTAAATATATATATATATATATATATATGTGTACATATATATATATGTATGTATATACAGTAGAATGAAAGGTGACAACATTTGGAAGGTCTGTATAGTTCAAAACCAATATTCCATGAGTAAAAGAGCCAGTGAAGTTCAAAACAGGCTGCTTGTTACAATGCAGGGTACAATGCAAGAAGTTGACAAGTCTTTGATGGGATTTCATATTTCACATTACAGTCAGCCTTCAAGAAACTATCAGTTGTCTAAAAAGCCTATTAAGTTACTCTTCCATTTTGCAACTACATATGAGGTTAGAGTTTCTTGGCTTTTCTATTTTTTAATTTTTTTATGGTGCTATATAGCTATGAATGACCAGCTATATGTCTGTGGATGCACTTGCCCATGCATGCACATATAGTGGCCAGAGATCCGCATCACATATCTTCCCCTATGTTTCTGCATGTTTTTTGAGGTAGGGTCTCTCCATGACCTCTTCAGTGCCAAGGTTTCTATTGCATTCCTCCTCCAATATGGTCAGGTCTGTCACAGCAGTATCTCATGAACCTGATACCAACTTCCGTGTTAGTTTGCTTCCTATTGCTGTGGGGAAAAAAACCCACCATGACCAAAAAGGCAACTTGGGGAGAAAGGAGTTTATTTCAGCTTACAGTTGCTATCACGAGAGGAAGTCTGGGCAGGAACCTGGAGACAGGAACTAAAGCAGAGGCTATGAAGGAACAATGCTTACTGGCTTCCTCTCCATGGCTTACGCAGTCTGCTTTCTTACACAATGCAGGACCACCTGTCTAGGGATGGCACCACCCATAGTGGGCTGAACCCTCTCACATCAATCACTAATCAAGACAATACCCCATAAGAATGCCTACAGGCAATCTGATGGAGGCATTTTCACTAGAGCTGCACTGCGTTTCCATGGATGCTGGGGATCCAAAGCCAGGCCCTCATGCTTGTATAGCAAGCACTTTATTCAATGAGGCATCTCCCCAGTCCTCTTGCTATCCTCTAATCAGCAACACATGACAACCAGTTAAATGTAAAAGTAGTTTCTTGTATTTATGGCAGACATTGAAGAAATTTGCAGAAGCATACAACCATGTCATTTGTGTCCAGAGCTTTTTTAGAACTATGGCTATTATACATAAACTACATTAACAAGTAATATACTTACTACTTTTCAAAACAATTTAGTAGTATCTTTAATTTCTCAGCTTTAATTTATATTTTAGTAAACAGAGATATAACCATACAAAGACAGACAGACAGACAGACACACACACACACACACACACACATGCATTTTTAAAAAGGGGGGGTGGACTTGGTGAGATGGTTTAGTGGATAAAAGCACTTACCACCATGTGCTGTCTGAGTTCGATTGCCAGAACCCATTTGATGGAAAGAGAGAGAAAACTCCAAGCTGTCCTCTGACCTCCAAACACAAACCTTGACACATGGCCCCAGATACAAATATAGACAATAATGTTCTTTTAAAAGTATTAATATATGTACATAATGAGAACAAAGTATCAGAAAAGATCCAAACATACCCAGCATGCATATATATATATGTATAATACATATTATATGCTATATTATATACATAAGATATATATATATGTACATCTTATACCTTTCCCTTGGTTCATCAGCCACCACTAATTTGAGTGTTCATGGGCAGAACTAAAAATTAAATTCCAACTTGTCAACTGTATTCTTGGACAGCAACTATGATAAAAATTCTCCAGCTAAACTGAGTGGTAGTGGCACACGCCTTTAATCACAGCACACAGGAGGCAGAGGCAGGCAGATCTCTATGAGTTCAAGGCCAGCCTGGTCTACAGAGCAAGTATCAGGACAGGCTCCAAAGCAATACATAGAAAGTCTGTCTCAAAAAGCCAAAAGAAAAAAATTGTCTCCAGCTATAAAGGGATAACGATCACCCTTGAGTATGGACAACACTGGAAGGAAAAATTTTGTTTATAGACTAGGAAAATTAGTCTACGAAATAACAGGTCATAAAATATATGTTTCTAATTTGTGTTGATACCTATATTTGTACTGATATCTATAAATTTACATTTTTCAATAAAATTTCTCTTTGGTGATACATGGACAAAGGGTATGCATTATAGATAGGAAAGCTCTCCATTAAAGGTAACTATGCTCAATACCATAATATGGTTTTGAATTAGAAAAAAATACAAAATATTCTGTATTATTTATTGTAAACTATGATAACATAGTTGTCTTGAGAAGGTTCTTCAAGAAATGTTTGGTTCTGTTTTCACATCTGTGAGATGAGGAATCTATGCTATATGATCTCTAAGAGCCCTTTCTAACAGCTCCGATAATCCTCAAAGGCCACAGCAAAGTATGAAACCCATGGAGCATATATGTATGCATAAAGGAGAACCCTTCAGGCATGGAGGTCGAAATGACCAGACTCAAGAGCATAATGCCTATGATACCAATCAATGTCCTCACAAGGCCTCCTTTAGACCTGGGCAAAACGAAAGGGTCCTCTGTTTAATCTACCACCTCTAGGTGTTTAGGCAAAGTAGCCAGCAAGCCAGTCTGATGAACCTCCAATTCACCTTTTTACTTTGCCTATTACCCATCACTGCTAGTATCTCTGTATTAACTGCTGGACATTTATGAAGCACCTACTACGTGTACACCTTCTCCTCAAGTGTATCAACTTTTCAATAAACATCTGTTGACTTGAATTCAATTGCAAGGCCTGGAGAGACTACAGGGTCTTCTTAGGCCATTAAGTGTTCTGTATGATAGGCAGATGAAAGGGAGAGAGAGAGAGCTAACTAACCCCTGTCACTACATTCCTCCCATTTACATGTGACACGTGGCTCCAATGCAGTGCCAGGGAAGCTGGAACTGGGCTGAAGGCAAAAGTGGAAATGGGGACTTACCTGGGGAACCTCTGCTTCAGCTTCCTTAGGCTCTGCCTGGTGGGCGGTACAGACACTAGGCACTGGGCTATCTCCTCGTACTGGGCTTTAGTTAGTATCATATTGGGCCCAAGGGGGTGGGGGGGATCACCCTTGGACTCGAGCAGTCTTGGTGCCAGGAGGCGAGGGAAAGGCAGAGCTCAGCACGACCCCGGGTTCTCCTCCTTAGCTACCTTCTCTACCCCCAAACACACCCCCTTGCTCCACTACGGGGCGGAGACACGCTGCGTCCAAGGCTTCACCTCCGCGGTAGAGGCGGGCTGTAGACCTGTTTGCGCCAGCGGAGTGTACTGAGCAGGCGCACTAAGCCGGGCCGAAGGCAACTCGCCGCCATCTTAGGTAAGGGCAAAGCAATCAGGAAGTGGCGTCTGCGGGGTGAAAATTCTTAGCGTCTTTAAGGGGCAGGTGTCCCTGAAGTCACCTGTCTGAGAAGGAACACAGATGATCCTTGAAGCCACACTGATGGCTGCAAGAAACCAGGGAAGCCTGTCACACAGTGCAGGGGGCGGGTCTCACAGGTGACCCTCCTGCCTTGAGCTGGAGCCCCGGAAGTCCGCCTCCAGAGCGCGGGGTTTGAATTTGTTTCCAGACACGCCCAGTTCTTGCCGCCCTGAACAGATGGTCTGCAAGAAGCTCAGCGAAAGGATGTCTGCAAGCCTGCAGTTTGGCTTGTGTTGGGAACGTTCTTCAGCCGCTCTCATGGAAAGCAATGCTGTTTTTGTGGTAGATTTAAATCCTGCTTCTTAAAGCAACTGGCAGTAGAATGTCAGTTTCGCTCTCCACACGTTAAGAAGTATATTCTTTCTGGCCACCACTATAGTGAACGCCCAATAAACTGTAGGGAAATGAAACGCTGAATTAATATTTTATTTTCAATATATACTGTGGATGGAACACAGCCCCTCCTAAGTCAATATATCCGACAATAGCCCCTGTAATTAAAAAAACAAAAACAAAAAAACACTTTGCTTCTAAGATGGACATATATTGTGTGTATGTGTTCTCTTCAAATTTAAACGTTTTGAGAAAGTGAAAGAAAATGCGCTAAGGTTTGTTTAAAAGGTTTGTTGTAGCTTTCATTTGCTGTAAAGCATAAGTTGGTTCATTGGCTTAAATATGAGTCCTTTGATAAATTCCTTAATCAACCAAAGCCTCAGTTACTTTACTTATAAAAAAAATTAATTCACAAGACTGATTTTAAGATTAAATAAGTGTGGACAAATATTTTGTATTTTCTCTCATTTGTGGACCCTCAATTTTACATAGATCATAAAGACACCATACACACACACACACACACACACACAAACACACACACACACACACACACACTAGCATAAATACATGTACACATATATACATTCAGAGAAAAGAAGGAGTAATGAGGCTGGGGGAGTGTGAACAAGATATACATGAAAGAATTTATATTTGTGAAATCTAGCACTATATACATGACCTTATGCCAATAAAAACAATAAGAGAGTACAAATAAAAACTTACTTACATAGGATCCAGCAAATAGCCTATGTAAAATAAATTAGTTAAGTAACTAGATATTTACTAGATAGTGCTTTGTGGGTTCCCTTGTAAAGACTCACTTAATCCCCATAACTTCCCTTGGTGCAGGTTCTATCCCCATTATGGCCCCCTCCTTCCTTTGTGCAAAATGAACAAAGGCATGAAAGGTTAAGGAACTTCCCAGAGGTCATGAGAACAAGTAAATAGCAGGAGTGGAATTCAAGTGAAAATTGGTATGTGGTGGTGTGGGCTCTCAAGGATGCTTAATCACTTCATGGAATAGTCATTCTTCTAAACCCTAAGGTTCGAGGGTTTTTTGTTTTTTAAGTAAATACTCCAATTTAAAAAAAAAATCATATACTAAGGGCTCTTCCCTACCTCCTCTTTGTTTTACTATCTTATTTTTTCTATAGTTTCAAAAGTCCAGTATCAACAGTAAATCCTAAACTGAGCAAGCACTGCTAGTTTCTAGATCTTTACATCAGAATGTTGCCTTCCCATATGCTTTACATCTAGCTCTGGTTGTGTGACATTAGTACATAACTGTTATTTATGGCAGTGTAGCCTGGAGTTGCCACCTGGCTAGTTTGTTGCTGACCCTGCCATGACTTTTACATGAAAGCTGACTGACGATAAGCAGACACCACTTGGTTCCCCATTCCTTTCCCCTTCACAGCTTCACTCCTTCCAATTCACAGCCATGGATTTTTTTTTTTTTTTTTTTTTTTTTTTTTTTATAGAAAACATCAGTTCAAGGATGTTTGCACTAGTTATTTTTATAGCAACTCCTTTCCCTGGCTCTTGTCCTCCACTCACCCTCACAACCCTTAAGGAAAATGCCAAGTTTGTTTTTCTGTTTTTTTATTTCCAACATGCTGGTAGTTTACTATTTTGACCTAAATCCAGTAGATTGTTTAGAGTTAGTGGGGGGAGAAAAAGAGAGTCATGTTGCTGTTTTCATTGGCAGTGACAGTAGTGTTGTTTATTAAGCACAAAATAGAAGCTGGGCAGAACTGTTCTGTTGTGGTTTAATTGGTGTCTTTTTCCTCCTGAAATGAATGCAATTGGCTGGGTATGCATGTCAGGTCTCCTTTCTTCCTGAATCTGCCTGTCTTTCTCTCATCTCTCATCACACCCTATGTCCCTTGTCTGCTGTTTTTTCTTCTAGGGTTTTCTCTGCAACTTTGTGCCCATGGTTCTCAGACAGACAGAAATACCCTTCCCAACTAAGTAATGGAGGGCTATAAAATAGTAGCACAAAACTAAAAACTGAAACAAACAAGAAACCAACCTGGCCCTCTTCCTGTTTGGAACTGGCCATGGAATGTCTTGGAAAAACTGACAAAGGTTCTCATCCTGAACATTCTGACTGTATGCACAAGCAAGAATATGGTTGGGTCTCATCTAAAAAGAAAAAAGATCCTTAAAAATATGGAAAGTATAGGGAAGCATACTAAGAAAAGGAAAATAAGCAGGGCCTGGTATAGCACCCTGGAAGGACCTACAGTTCTACAAAGTGAAGGAAATCGATCAGATTTCCTTGGGCCAATGCCTGGATGATATAAATACTTAACATTTTTGAAGAGGAATGGAGTGTGGAGGGGAGTCATGTGGTCCTTTCAAGAATGCCACTAATACAAAGGAGTGAAATTAAGAATGAGCCATGTTACATGCCTGGGGAATTAATTCTTACTGGAGCAAAGATATCTCAGCAGAGTGAAGAGTGCCTGACCTTGGAAAGACCCGGCCACATTTTCAAAGGATCTACCAAATCTAGTTTTTAAACTAATGAACATACAATTTTTAAAAGTGTATTGAAAACACTTTATTCATGGGGGTCTCTGTCAATGGTTACAGTGATAATTTTTATAGAGAAGTAATTGAAGTCTATTTATTGAACATGGGGAAAGAAGAACACTGATGTTTTTTGAGAATCTACTATGGAAAGTTATTATCTCTGTGGTAGTCTGAAAGAAAATGACCCCAAAGTTGGTGGCACTATTAGGAGGTGTGGCTTTGTTGGAAAAAGTATGTCACTGTGGGGATGGGCTTTGAAGTCTCTTTCCCTCAAGCATCCCTCAGTATCACTCTAAGTTGGCTTCATCTTGCCTGTAAGATATAGGTCTCTCAGCTACTCCAGCATCATGTCTGCCTGCATATTACTGTGCTTAACATCATGATGATTATGTACTAAGCCACTGAAACTGTAAGCCATTCCAATTGACTCTATTCTTTATAAGAATTGCCATGGTCATGTTGTCTTTTCACAGTAATAGAAGTTCTAACTAAGGTATCCCCTTACTGCCTTATGTCACTTAATCTTCACAGTTACTCTGTCCAGTAAAGCTGCTGGTTTACTACTTGAAAATGAAGCTACAGAATAATAATAATGGGTGTTGGGCTTGTAAAGATGGTTCTTCAGCTAAGAACACTTGCTGTTCTTGCAGAGGACTTATGTGTGGGTCCTAGCAGCATGGTATCTCATGACCATCCATAACTCCAGTTCCAGGAGATCCAGGAGATCTTCTGACCTCCATGGGCACCAAGCACACATATGGTACATATACATACATGCAGAAAAAACACTTATACACATATTTTTTTTATTTAAGAAAGTTTACCTGGAATGTCTATCTGCTAAGTAAAACCATAATTTAAACCCAAGTTTATCTGACTTTTGAGCCAAAGTTAAACATGTCTATACTTTTCACCTTTCAGTAAGAAATCATTTTATCCTAACCTCAAAACAATAAAAGCTTCTGATAATCAATGGAGATTAAATAACTGTGTGGAGACCGAAAACAACTACTGGGGTTTATTACTGGAGAAAAGGAAACACACAAAAAGACAAACAGACTGTAAAAGTACAAGGAAGAACAAAATCAAATGTCAGTCTCCTTATGTCATTGGGGAAAGTCTGTAAAACCAAGGATCTGACTCAAGAGGAAGGCCACATGTCTGTGGGGCTGTCTGTAAGACCCACTACAAGCAAAAACTGCCTTACCTACATGCAATCCAGTGTGGACTCTCTTAGGGTATTTATTATTCAAAAAATACCAAGGCACTTACCAAAGGTAAGAACTACAGATGGCTTCTATTTACTTCATCAGTTACTGTACAACGTTCTAGAATAGTATTTCTCAAATTGTCAACATTACACACCCTATTTTCCTTCCATTTTTGTGGACAAATTATTACAATAAGATCAAAAATGGGGCCAGAGAGATGGCTTAGAGGTTAAGAGCACTGGCTGCTCTTCCAAAGGACCTGAGTTCAGTTCCCAGCACCAACATGGTGGCTCACAGCCATCTGTAATGAGATCTGGTGCCCTATTCTGGTGTGCAAGCATGTATGCATGCATACTGAATACTGTATATATAACAAATAAATCTTTTAAAATGGATCAAAAGTGAATTACTGAAAAATGAAATTTAAACAGATAGAGACAAACCAGTAATTTATTAATATTGGATTTAGCAGAACATCTTAAATCTTTGCAAACTTTAATGCTCACTACATCCAGATATGAAACAAAAAGTTTGACAGCCATTGATTGCTTACAGAACATGTTTTAAGCATCAC